TATCCCATGCGAGTAAAGTTTTTCTAAAGGTAATACAGAGATGGCTACAATCATACATTGACAGGGAACTTCCAGAGGTTCAAGCTGGGTTCAGAAGAGGCTGTGGAACGAGGAATATCATTGCAGATGTCCGATGGATCTTGGCTGAAAGCAGAGAATATCAGAAAGATGATTACCTGTTTTTTATTGACTACGCAAAGGCTTTCGATTGTGTGGATCATTACAAGCTATGGACAACATTGCAAAGTATGAGTATTCTGGAACACTCAATTGTGCTCATGAGGAATCTGTACCTGGACCAAGAGGCAACTGTTTGAACAGAATATGGGAACACTGAATATTTAAAAATTTAAAAGGGTGTGTGACAAGGTTGTATTCTTTCACCATACTTATTCAAGCTGTATGCTGAGCAAATAATCCGAAAAGGTGGGTTCTATGAAGAAAAATGTGGTATCAGGATTGGAGGAAGACTCATTAACAACCTGCAATATGCAGATAATACAACCTTGCTTGCTGAAAGTGAAGAGGACTTAAAACATTTACTGCTGAAGATCAAAGAGTACAGCCTTCGGTATGGATTACATCTCAATGTAAAGAAAACAAAGATCCTCACCACTGGACCAGTAAACACTATTCTTATCAATGGAGAAAAGATTGAAGTTGTCAAGGACTTCATTCTTCTTGGATCAACTATCAACACTCACAGAAGCAGCAAAGGAATCAAACAACGTATTGCATTAGGCAAATCTGCTGCATAAGACCTTTGTAAAGTGTTGAAGATCAAAGATGTCAGCTTGAGGACTAAGGTGCACCTGACCCAAGCCATGGTATTTTCTATAACCTCATATGCATGTGAAAGCTGGACAGTGAATAAGGAAGACCGTAGAAAAATTGATGCTTTTGAGTTATGGTGTTGGAGGAGAATATTGAAAATTCCATGGGCTGCCAAAAGAACCAACAGATCCATTTTGGAAGAAGTGCAGCCAAGAGTGCTCCTTGGAGGCCAGGATGGCCAAACTTTGTCTCTCATACTTGGGACATAGTGTCAGGAGGGACCAGTCGCTGGAGAAGGATATCATGTTTGGTGAGGAAGACCCCAACGAGATGGATTAGCCAAATGGCAGCATCGATGGACTCAAGTGTGGCAACAATGGTGAGGTTGGCCCAGGATTGGGTAGTGTTTTGTTCTGCTGTGCATAAGGTTGCTATGGGTCAGTACCGACTGGATGGCACCTAACAACAACAACAAGACTATCTTACAGATTCCTTTGGCACCAGTCCTCAAATTCTAACCTGATGCCTTGTTCTCCACCCACTGCCTGCCTTCTCGACACTTAGTAGCTAAGATGCTCAACCTTTTACACTGAAAACAAAAAGAGACTCATTGATATACAGATTTAGGACTTCCTCCCTGGGCTCCCTCCCAATCCTTTTTTATTTATTTCTTGACCATCTTTATAGTCTACCACTTGGTAGTGGTGGGGGGTGGTGGCAAGAGGGGGGAACTGGAAATCCTCCAGACTAGTTATATTTTTATAAAAGAGATTGGTGGTGCTGGTTTGCCATGGAGTCTGTTAATTTTTACAGGAGCAGAAAGCCTCATCTTTTTCCCGTGGAATGGCTGGTAGCTTTGAACTGCTGTCCTTCAGGTTAGCAGCCAGACTCGTAACCACTATGCTACCAGAGCTCCTTTAAAAGGAGATTAGCAGGTGTTAAAGAAACTCATTAAAGACCACTGGTGGTTGTAGTTGACCCTATATAGGGTTCCCAAGGCTATAAATCTTTACAGGAGCCGGAAACCTCATCTTTCTCCCCCAGAGTGGCTGGTAGATTCAAACTGCTGACCTTCTAGTGAGCAGCTAAACTCATAACCCATTACGCCACTTGGACTGTTTTAAATACCACTACTATCTGTATGGAGTCCTGGTGTGGCACTGTGGGTTAATGTGCCAGACTGCAAAGCCGTTTGAACTGCAAGGTTGGCGGTTCAAGCTCACCAGCTGCTTCTCGGAAACCCTATACAGGGTCGTTATGGGTCAGAACCTACTTGAAGGCACTTCACAACAACAACTATGTGTATGGAGTCTGGGTGTGGTGCTGTGGGTTAATTTGCTGGACTGCAAGGTCTGTTTGAACTGCAAGGTTGGCAGTTCAAGCTCACCAGCCACTCCTCAGAAATCCTATGGGTTGGAATTGACTTGCCAGCACTTAGCAATAACAACTATTTGTATAATAATCTCCATATAGTCATCACCCAGCTTCAACAAATATCAAATCATGGCCCCATCTACTTTCTCACTTCAGTATTATTCTGAAGCAAATTGCAGATATGATAGCATTTCATCTGTAAATATTTCACTGTGTATAAAAGATTTTCCTAATAAAAATTGCTATTTGAGAAAAACGACCTAAATCTACAGAAAAATTGCAAGACTATTACAAGGAACTCCCATGTACCTTTCCCTTAGATTCATCCACTGGTAATATTTGTTTGCATTTGTCTTCTCTATTTTTATATTTCTATGTATGTGTCTATACTATACACACATATGTAATATATACAGGATATATACATTATTCATACTCTTTTTTTAAAATCTGAATTTTCTTAATTATTTGAGAAAAAGTTTCAGAGATTGTGATCCTTTACCTCAGAATACTTCTAAAAACAAAGACAATCTCTTATATAGCCATAATGCAGTTATTAAATTTAGAAAATTTCACATCTTATAGAATATTTTTATCTAATATAGAGTACATGCTCAGAGTTTAGAATTATCCCAATATTATCTTTCATAGCAATTTTTACACCCCCAAATGCTGTGTCTCTTTCATGCCCTTTAATCTGGAAGAGTCTCTCCGCCTTTCATGCATTGTTTTGTGGGCTGTCTCAGTATTTCCTCATGATGCGATTCAGGCTCTGCAGATTGTCAGGAATAACACACAAGTGCTGTCTCCTTCTGGGAACGTGGCAGCACAATCCAGATCTTGCCTGTTTCTGGAGCTGTTGCATTCAGTCCTCTGGTTAAGGTGCTGTGCATGGGATTTCTCTGCTTTTTTTTATACTGTCTTCTTTTTGGAACTGCACAGTTATGGTCGCCCATGTTTCCACCACTGTATTCTTCAGGGTCTGTGGTTATGGAGACAAAAAAAACAAAGCCTCTTTTATTATATAGGAGGGGACTTCAAAAAGTTTGTGGAAAAATGGAATGAAAGATACTGGAGTGTTTTCCAGGAACAGGTACATGTATATGTTTGAGTGAACCAGTTTGAATTCTGCAGATGGTCTGTAAGTGCCTCTCTGGGTAAATGACAAGCAAGGCTCCAAGGGACTAGACGTGTAGTTCTCAGTATTGCCCAGAAGTGAAACTACACGGGTAGCCAGTCTTCAGGGTGAAGAGGGCTTGGTCTAGGAGCTCAGTCTCAGGTAGGCCCCAGAAAGTCAGTGCTCTCCAGTGTGCACTTCCTCTGGGAGCCCTTTGATGCTGAGAAAGAAAGCTGAGGTGTCTCCTCTCCCCCTCCACAGTGCACTGTTCCTCCTGGCTGCCGCCGGATGCCTTCCCTTCAACGATGCCCAGGTCAGTTCACATATGCCCCTTTTGCCTTCAAAGTAAGTACCTTTTACTCTCTGAAGCCTGTGATGTGTGAGCAGAGTTTCCTAGCCCTTCATTTTAGAATCAGGATCACCCTGGCCTGTGGGAACACTCTCAGGTGTTCTCAGCTGGGGTCCCTTTAACCCAGGCTCACCTTTGTCCAGCCTTTGTCTTTTCTACAAGGTGTAGCCACTGAGCTTCTGCCTTTGTGGGTGTTCATTGCATAACTTGCTCACTATACATGTGAGGTGAACCTGCAAACCAGCACTTAGGCTGCCTGCCCAAGCCACAGGCATGGAGATAAAGTTGTTTTCCCCTCTCATTCATGGGCCTCAAATGTTGGGTGATTTGTAACTTTGAGCTAAAATTGAGTTTTGCCTTACTGGCACTGAAAACCCACCTCCACCCGCAGGAGTTATCTCACTGATGGGGTCCTTTCCTCCTCTCCTCACCAGTATTTCTTAAATCTCTTTCAAGTGTCAGGTGCTGAGCCAAGCACTGAGGGCAAAGAGAAATGTCCACGTCTGGACAGAATGGAAGTCAGACTCTACTTAGAGTCAAGGGGAGAGGGAACAGATGAGGCAGCAGATAATTATAACCCAGTTAGGCCTGGGCTGTGTACCAGGAAGCTATGGGATGCTATGGGGTCCTAACAAGACTTAGAAGTAGGGAGAGCTCATAGTTCCAGGGAGCTGACTGTGTGCCAGGCGCTGTGCGGTCTAGCTGAAAGTCTGCCAAAAACTCCATAGGGTAGGGACTATTATTATCTCCATTTATAGCTAAAGAATAATCAAGTCCAGAAAGTTACCAGCTAATGAGTAAGTGGAGCATTTAGATTTAACCCAGCGTTTTCTCGTTTTTGTTTCTGGGTGCTATAATGGTGAATGCTCCTGACTGCATCCTCTCTCAGTCCTGTCCTTGGCACACTGTTAGAATTTCTGATCACTGCACTTACTCCTGGTTTGTCTGTACCTCATTTTTTTTTTTTTTTTTCATCCTGTGTTACAGTTTGATCCGGATGGATATTTTTGGGCTATAATTCATTTATTCTGTGTAGGTAAGTTTTAAAAGAACGTTTGCTTAGATGCTCTTGTTGTTGTTGGTAAGTGCTGTCGAGTCAGTTCCAACTCATAGAGACTCTGTATAGGGATAGAGACTCTGTATAGGGATAGAGACTCTGTATAGGGATAGAGACACTGTATAGGGATAGAGACTCTGTATAGGGATAGAGACTCTGTATAGGGATAGAGACTCTGTATAGG